GAACCTAATAAAAAAGAATACAAATGTAAATTGTAAGTGAAAAATAAAATTGTGAAGATGTTTTTAATTTTTTTATCACATTGGTTTTTCTCACCCTAGGCTGTCAGAATCATTCATGGATTGTAATCCTGCAACCAGTATTTGAAAATCCCTCCCATACTTGAAAAAAAAAAAAATCGTGGAGCAAGTCCAGACTATGAAAAGAGCCCTGTCACACTACTAAAAACCACAATCTCATGAATCCATTTGAATACAGTCAACAAGTGGATCCACTTAACTGTTCTTAATTCTAGTCCATATTGTTAACAAAGATTCTGTGGGGAAACATGACAAATGCCATGTAGACCTCCAAACACACTAAATACATATTCCAATCTTCTCTTAGTAATTTAATAACATTCCTTATCTATCATTATATTCACAGCACTGACCCAGGTCCTAGGAGTGCAGCAATGAGTATCACAGTCAAATCCTTGAGCTTATGGAATTTATATCCTGGCAATAGAGACAGTCATTGAACAACAGAGTTCACAACTATTAAATGATAATCATGACAGCAAAATATTAGTGATTAAATATATGATGTCTGAGATTTTCCTCAAGGTAATTAGGGGATGGTATGTAGTTCAAATAAAACTAAGCTGGAGTTAATAATTGTTAAAACTAGGTGAGAGAAATACAGGGATTTATTATACACTATTCTCTCTACTTTTCTCTTTGAAATTTTCCATTAAAATTTTAAAATTATAATTATGATACTGTGGAAAACTACGGAAAATTAAGAAAATACATTAACAGTGAGGATCTAACCTAATGCAATGAGGCAGAGAAAGTTTCTCTGAGAAAATGACTTTTAAATTTAAATCTGAAGCAAACAGAGGGGACAGCATGTGAAAGCACCGCAACACAGGGAACAGAGTACATACAAACAGCACAAATACTGTCAAATCATAGTTGAGCTGCGACCATAGTTTGGCTGCAGATACCAGAATTTGGCAAAAATTAGCATTCTGGGAGGATCAAATGGGTACATTTAATTTACAATAAAGTATTTTATACTTTATTATAATTTATAAATTGTTTCACATTCTTTATATCAGTAAAATTCATAAACATATATACGTATACTGAGATATACATTTATACATTAGATAAAGCCCAGTTGTTAAGCATTTACTAACACACCACTAAATGGAATCCAGTGGCAGTTTGAGACTTCGAAAAGGGAATTAGAGATTCCATTTAAACCTGGCTTCAGAAACATTCTTTTCAGTGAATTGTGTTGAGACAAAGAACTTACAGAAAAGGAAACATAATTCAATACACTACCTGTACTCTGCATGAACACCACTTAGATCTATATACCTATATGCTCTTATGAATTAACTTTAAACTTTCACCTGTTAAAATTCATCTTCTACCCTCTAAAATGACCTAGCCAAACATACACATACAGCAAAACTGTAAGAGGCATGCAAACAGCCTACCATCCTAATTTAGATTTTATTACTTCAATGGGAGAACACACCAAAATTTGTTGCCAGAATGGAAAGTGCTTATCAACTGTGCAAGTTACATACTGTTTCATTTGAGCCTCATAGAAATCATAGGCTATAAATCATCATCCCCACTTTACCAGTGAGAAATCAGTTTTGGTTCAAAGAAATGAGGCAACTGTCACAGATCATGCCCTAACAATACCACTTCAAAACAAGAAGTTCATCCTGTGACACTGGCTCAGACTTGTCCTCTTCCATATGATCACATGCTCCATTTACTAGTACTGGGTCACCATGAGCGAACAACCTTATTAAGGATTAAAAATTGAGTCTACTATACTTCATAGTAAGATGAAAAGGCATTTTAATAGATTAATTTCTTAACTCTCTGGAATTATAGAGGAAAGATTGTTTTGTTTTGGCATGGTAGATTCTTAATTCCCTTAGCTACATTTCCACTGCACCACAGAAAGGCAAGAATCAAGAACTTGTCCTTCCTTCTGAAAGTTTGCAACACCAAGGATAAAGCCAAAGCAGAAACACTTCATACATCTTCCCATTCTCCTTCCACCTTCTACCCATACTGCCCCTCCTTTCATTCAGAGTTAAATGTTAAATTTTTTTAAAAGTTAAAACTCTTGAATAAATAGTTTGACAACATTTAACAATGTTCACATGTGAACACCAAGGACAATCTGTCAACTTGTATTTTTCTTGGAAACATAACCTAATAAAAACATCTTAGGGACTTCCGGCCAAGATGGAGGCGTAGGTAGACACACTGTGCCTCCTCGCATAACCAAAAGGACAATTAAAAACAAAAGACAACCAGAGCTTACAGAAAGCTGAACTGTCTGGCTGGAAGTCCAACAACCAAGGAGTTAAAGAAGAAACATTCATCCAGACCAGTAGGAAGGGCGGAGTCAGGCAGCCAGGCAGAGAGGACTCGCAACAAGGCAGCAGCTGGAGGACCAGGACGGGCAAGGCTGCAGCTGGCAGACCCGGTGAGACAGCAGATTGCAGACTGGGCAGTCCCACATTCGAGTGCACATAAACCGGGAGAAATCACTGGGGAATAAGACAGACTGTGCAACCCAGGGTTCCAGTGCTGGGAGATAAACCCTCAAACCTCTGATTGAAAACACCTGTGGGGGTTGAGGCAGCAGTGGGAGAACTCCCAGTCTCACAGGAGAGGTCGCTAGAGAGACCCACAAGGTCCTAGAATGTACACAAGCCAACCCAAATGGGAATCAGTACCAGAAGGGCCCAATTTGATTGTGGGTAGCAGAGGAAGTAACTGAAATCCAGCAGAGAGCTGAGCAAGCGCCACTGTTCCCTCTCAGACCCCTTCCCCACATACAGCACCACAACATAGCGACTGGGGTTGCCCTGCCCTGGTGAACACCTAAGGCTCCACCCCTTACTACGTAAAAGGCGCACCAAGACAAAAAGATGGCCCAATGAAAGAACAGATCAAAGCTCCAGAAAAAATACAACTAAGCAATGAAGAGATAGCCAACCTATCAGATGCACAGTTCAAAACAATGGTAATCAGGATGCTCACAGAACTGGCTGAAAATGGTCACAAATTAGATGAAAAAATGAAAGCTATGCTAAGTGAAATAAAGGAAAATGTACAGGGAACCAACAGTGACAGGAAGGAAATCAGGGCTCAAATCAAGTTTGGAGTAGGAGGAAGAAAGAAACATTCAACCATAACAGAATGAAGAAACAAGAATTTAAAAAAACGAGGAGAGACTTAAGAACCTCCAGGACATCTTGAAACATTCCAACATCCAAATCATAGGGGTACCAGAGGAAGAGCAAGACACTGAAAACTTATTTGAACAAATTATGAAGGAGAAATGTCCCAATCTGGCAAAGGAAATAGACTTCCAGAAAGTCCAGGAAGCTCAGAGAGTCCCAAAGAAGTTGGACCCAAGGAGGAACACACCAAGGCACATCATAATTACATTACCCAAGATTAAAGATAAGGAGAGAATCTTAAAAGCAGCAAGAGAAAAAAGGAGAGTTACCTACAAAGGAATGCCCATAGACTGTCAGCTGACTTCTCCAAAGAAACCTTGTAGGCAAGAAGGGGCTAGACAGAAGTATTCCAAGTCATGAAAGGCAAGGACCCACATCCCAGATTGCTTTATCCAGCAAAGCTTTCATTTAGAATGGAAAGGCAGATAAAGTGCTTCCCAGATAAGGTCAATTTAAAGGAGTTCATCATCACCAAGCCCTTATTATATGAAATGTTAAAGGGATTTATCTAAGAAAAAAAGATAAAAAATATGAACAGTAAAATGACAGCAAACTCACAGTATTAACAACCACACCTAAAACAAAAACAAACTAAGCAAACAACTAGAATAGGAACAGAATCACAGAAATGGAGATCACATGGAGGGTTATCAACAGGGGAGTGAGAGGAGGAGAGAGGATGGAAAAGCTACAGAGAATAAGTAGCATAGACAGACAGGGGGAGGTTAAGAATAGTGTAGGAAATGTAGAAGCCAAATTATGTATGACCCATGGACATGAACTAAAGGGGGGGGGGGAAATGTGGGTAGGAGGGGATGTGCAGGGCAGAGGGGAATAAAGGAGAAATTGTGATAGAATAATCATAGCATAATCAATAAAATATATTAAAAAATAAAACATAAAAACAGGTTAGCCTTCTAGTTAATTAGGGTTTATGTAGCTGCTTCATTTCATTAGTATTGAGGTCTCATAAAACTGACATAAAGAACCAGGCCATTATGGAAAAGTAATAATGTCAAATGTGTATTTAAAGTTGATTTATATTGACTGTTTTAAATGCACTATAGGTCTGCTGCCTTAAATTTCAAAGCTACAGTGAATACTAGCAGCATGAATTCACAAATATAGAAAGAAAAATACCAAACTTATTAAATTTATAATGGAAAAATCATGTCTTTTACTGCTAATTATTAGAGACTATATTAAAAATTTGGTGTCCTACTGTCATCCTAATGTTTGAGAAATATTTAGGAATACCATCAAGGAAGACAATTCAAAAGAAGAAATACAAAATAAATGATCAGATTGACAAAAATCTTTTTTAATAATACCTTGTATAAGTATTTGAGAGACTGAGAAGTCACAAACTCTTAAACTCCAGACAGAAATATGAATGCACAGTGCTTGCTGGTATGCCTCAGTGGACTGAGCACTGTCCTGCAAACCAAAGAGTTCCTGGTTTAATTCCCAGTCAGGGCATTTGCCTGGGATGCAGGCCAGATCCCCATCTAGGGATGTGTGAGAGGCAACCACACACTGATGTTTCTCTCCCTCTTTCTCTCTCCCTCCCCCTCTCTCTTAAAATAAATAAATAAAATCTTTTTAAAAAAGAAAGGATGAAAGGAAATTATAGAGCATCCATTTAAAATAAATTAAATTTCAATTTAAACAAAAAACAAAAATCACAAAAAGAAGTGGGCAACAAAATTTCTCAATAACAGTTGAGTCACCAAGTTCCTTTTTTAATAGTTGCTATAAAAATTTTATTAAGAAAACCTAAACACACAAACATGATTAACACTTTTAAATTGAAATCATGAAACTTCCATTGTCCCTTTTACAAAAAGTTTCAAATAAAAGGACAAATTCTAAATATTTCATTGTTTTCTATTACTATTTTAGTAAATTATTTATTCAATCGCTTCTTTAGGTTCTCAAGGTGTTCCACATTAACATCTGCTAATGCCAGTACCATTGCTTTAGACAAGGAGGGATTAAATGAAATAGTCATTAGACAGCACAAATCTATTAGATCTCGCTGACATTTCTGCAAACCTTCCATGAATTTTTGGTACTGAACAGGTTCTTTTTTTAACTTTTTCATCTCTGGTACTGAAAACCCTATCAAACTAGTAAGTATTTCATCTACAAAGTCTACATCTAGATATGCAGTACCATCAGAAATCTTTGCTGCTATACTCCATATGCCACCAGAACTTGAGAGGTTTCCAGTTAAGGTTACAATAAAGGCTTTGACTTTTACTGTTACAACTTTCTTTGGTTTGCTGGCCATTAGAACAGACAAATAGATAAAGGGGGGAGAATACAAATCCATGGTGATAGAAAGATTAGTGCTGTCCTCTGATGATCTTGGAGAACAATGCTGAAAATGGTGATCATTTTCATTAGAAATTTGTGAATTTCTTCTTGGTACATAATTAACTAGTTCTTCATTTAAAATTTTATTATTTAAGGAATGTATATCTGAACTGCTGATGGTTTGTTTTACTTTATCCCCTATCTCTGAGTTCTTTTCTTTATTTGTAAAGTCATGGTACAGGTGTATATTATCATGAACTGAAAAAACACTACTGTTGTGATCTATAGGAGATAAACAACTAAAAGATTTGTCTTCATTAGTCATCTGTTCAGATAAATTTTTTTCACTCCAATTGTCACCATTTTTGCAAATCACAGAAAAATTATTCAGAGCATTAGGCTCAGGTGAAGATCTCACTATATTTTCATCTGTGATTCTGTTCAAAGTCAATGGCTGCAATTCTTTAGTGTTCATTTTTTCTTCCTGGGCAGCTTCTTCTAAAAGCAAGGCCTCTGCCAATGAAAAGTCATCTAATTCCCCATCAGTGAAATGCACAGATTGATTTGGTGGTTTCTCCTTTGGTCTTGGAGAAATAACAAGTCCTGGTTCAAAACCCGACTGTCTTGTGGGAATAGCATTTGAGGAACTACCTGTGCTAAAGTATCTTCTTTCCAAGGAGGTGGCATTAATTGCTGCAAGCTCATCATTTTCATCAAGACTTGCCAAGAGTTCTTCATCAGAAGGTCCTAACACAAGATCTAGATCATCTGTATTTCTGGGAATGCTTTGGTTAGAATTATTTGGTATGATTGAAACTACAGGATCAGGTTCCCCAATTAATCTTCCAAGTACTTTTTCTTGGGCATATTCCTCTAAAAGAGCATCTACTTCTCCTCCCAACACCTTCACATTTTCTGGTTTCAGTAAGAGAACACCAAGGCGGAAAGAAACGATGCCATAAATCAAAATTTTTGTGCCTGGAGGAAGATTACTATGAAGAGATGGAATAGGCTGATATTCCATTCCCTGCACTTGTACAATTCCATCAGTTAGCTGTAGCATCAACATTCGTGAAGGCTTTGCTTCCCAAGGCTTTGGAGTTACTTGTGTTTCAGCTGTAATTAGCTCATTCATAGTATTCTTTCCTCTCAACTTTTGTATCTGGGAATATGCAGGTTGACTTACATCAACCAATGAATTAATCTGCAGAGCAAAAAATCCATTCAGTTCTCCTTTTGGAACTTCTAAAATGCCATCAGGTAAAAGAGGAAGCTCCAAATCTTTCAGATCGGTAAGGAGCCATTGCTCAAAAACTTGTTTATTTATTTGTGCCTGACTCAAATTAATATTATCATTTTCTTCTTGGATCCAGTGAATACAAGCTTCCAGCCACAATAGCGGTACTTTTACATGCCATGTAGCTAAAAGCCAGGTTTCAACTCTTAATGCAATACTAGTTACACTCATTTCTTTTAAATAAAAATTATGTATCTGTTACCTAAAAACAAAAAACAAAAGAATTATAATTCAGTACACTTAAATATAGTCTCTATAATTTTGTACAATGCACAAAACAGGCATAACAATACCCTTTTTATTTTTCTTGATTCAGAATTTAAAAGCCTTTCACTTTTTACATATCCAAATTTCAAATACCACAAGTAAGCAGATGATATAATGAGAAAAGCAAAAGGGTTGAAAGGTAACGCATCCAAATTATAAGTTCTCTGACTTAATATAAATTTCTTAAATTTCTAACCCAGTTTTTTCATCTGTAAAATGTCAACACCATCATCTATCTTACACGGTTTTTTTGAGGATCACATGATTAACATTTGTAAAGCATGCCAGACCTATGAGAGACACATAATAAATAGTAATTATTATATTAATAACCAGATTTTAATCATTTAAAATTTGGTTAAGAAACAATATTTGAGTTTGGGTCTCAGAAATATTCTAAAGTCTAATAAAAGCATCCTCCTAATTATTCAGGCAACAGAAAAAAAGAAACAATATTCACTAAGGTTATTTTCATAACTACAATGCATACTCTATTAAAACATAGCATTGTATATGACCATATAGCACTTAAATATGTGATCTAAGAATAAAGTTATAACAAATAAGAATAAATTCTCAGCTGATATGAAGCATCTCCTTTAGCTAAATAATTTCAATAGTCCTACCAGGTAAATATACTTCTGATTTTCTCAGTATGATAAAACAGTAGCAAAAAAGTAAAGACAAATTAACCCTATGTTCTCGTAAGTATATTTTTCCCTTCTACAGCTAAAGATATCTAAGAGTGAGACTTTATGAAAGTTGTAATATGTCCAAAAAAAAAAAAAAAAAGTTGTAATATGTCCATAAGAAACTCACCATTTGGAACAGGAGCATAGGATTTGGCGACAGGATTTGGAACTGGTTGTTCAGGGAGTACTTGTAACATCTACTGCTCAGAAGTAGCCCTGGGAACTAAGACAAGAAGCAATAACAGTTATAAGATGAAGCTGCAAAAAAGAATCACTGACCTATTTTCATGAATGCAAAAATTTGATAGTTTGGTTTTTCAGGCTCCTGTTACCAATCAGGGTAGAGTATAGGTAATAGAGATTTAAAAATGAGGTTTGGAGTGATATGAACAAAAGCAAGTGACCATGAGAAACTCACGCATTTTAGCTTGCTTCCTTGTCTATATAGTACTTACTTCATGGGCTAGTATGAAAATTAAAGGAGATCAGAGAGGACAGAGGGCAGGAACCAGCCCAGACACTGATATTAGGCAGCTAAGCCAGATGACCCAAGGGGCAAATCCAGCCATTTGAAATGGCTGCTCACCTTTGCCTCAGAATCACCAGCTATGTGGCAAGTCACAAGGAATCCAGCAGCTGCTATAGGCAGAAAAGCAGACTGCCCAGAAAGTATCCAAGGCCCACAAAAGACCAGAGGCTGAAGCAGGCCAAAGCAGCTCAAGCTGAAATTAAACAGTACCGCCTGCAGAGGGAGAAAGAGTTCACCGCCAAGGAAGCCTGGGTTCTGGGATACCATGGCAGAGGCATCACTGAGGTAGAGGAGGATTAACCAGAAGGACAATTCTCCAGACTTTCAGGCAGAACAAGGATGAAGTCCTGGATAACCTTTGGTCTTGCCTGCAACTTCAGCCAGAAATCCATGAAAACTACCATATAAATAGGTAAGAGAAGAAAGAAGGACTTGTTCCATGGACTGGCATTTTAGATGCCTTCATGGAATATGAACCATTAGCAAAGCTCAAGCTATTTCTTGCGAAAAGGCATTAAATTATTTCTGTATATGGTAAATCCCTTCACTTTATAAAGAATAGCAAATGTTGCTTCTTTGTAGAAACTTAAAACTTAATCCAAAGACTTCAATTTTTACCTCGTATTTCTTAGAAATTTAATCGATATATACATTGTCTGGTTTCCTATATGTCTTTTAGCTCAAGCAACATATATATTTAGTACTGACTTTTTCTTTCTTAGGGGTAGTAAAAAAAAGGTTTGGGGTTTTTTTTGAAGAAAGAAAAGAAGTTAAAATATTTTTTTTCCCTAAAGCTTTCTTGAAGGTCAAGAGTTTTATCTATGAAAAAGTAGTAAATGGTTACTTGTAACCTATATTAAGCAACAGGAAGCCTTAAAATAATACTTTTTGGCTAAGGATTAGAAAAATGAATTGCATTGATCGGGCTGCTTTTAGTTTCCCTCATGCAAAATTACTAGATGGCAATTTAAGAACTTGTTACATGTTATTAGTTAAAGGTGAAAATTCTTTATCATATGAAAAAATTAAAAGAGCTAGGAGAGCGATAAATAATCTAGTGGTTCAGAGAACAACCATGGTACCAATTATTTTTCACTTACACAATGTCACCATAAACAAGTGATCACATTATTAATTTAACACATGGTTAAAATTTAAAGTAGTATAGTTGTTGTGAGAATTACATGAATAACATTTTAAAGGAATGAAGGTCATTATAATTACTGAGCTGGTGAATCTTTATATTGAAGAAAATGATTGCGAGTATAGATATATACCATATATACTTAATGATATATGAAAACTATGTAAAAATTCAAAGGTAGGAAAGTCCCTGGCCATTTTGATGAAAATAAACCATGTCAAGTCAAATCTACATGTCTCTATAACAAAGAAACCAATAATCTCTACACTAAAGCTTTCTGATTTAAATGGAAGTATTTCCTAACTTATTTCTAAATAAAGAAACAAAAACTGTGTACTAACTTTTGTGTACAAAAGAAAGGAAAATAAGCATATTCTTATTTCTCTGTATATACATAAAGGACCTTTAGAAGGATATACAGGAAATAACATGTTTGGGACATAGCTACACTCAATAAAAAAGAGTAAGATCTTTGTGGGTCAGTAAATAGGGCCTACAAAACACATATAGTATGCATAGTATAGTCCAGAAGTAGGCTATTCACATCAAGTAAAAGTTCAAATCCCTAATGAAACAGCTGACCTAGCACTATGCCAACCAGAGGATCAGGCTGAAAGCAACTCGAAAACCACACAAAAGAACAAAACACATGGGAAAAACTCCTATCCAACATGCGCTCTCAACTAAAATGATAATATACTCGAGGAAACTTACTGCCATGAGCCACATCAGTAGACAAAATAAACAGAATTTTCAACTGTTTAAAAATTTTTTTAAATAAAAAATCTTAAATGGTTTTTAAAAATCTCTTTGAGCATACTAAAGATAATTTTAAAATTGGGCTAATATTCTTTAAATAGATAATTAAACAATAACAGGCATTTATGAAAAGAAGCAATTGGAAATCTTGGAAATGGGAAAGTCTCTAAAATTAGAAGTGTAAAAGATGGGACAAACAATAGAATAAAAACAAATGAAGAGAGAACTTATGCATCGGAAATTAGTCAGAAGAGAGTATAAAGATAAAAAAATAAGATTTTAAAAAGCTATGTAGGGAAGATAATCACAGTTTCAAAAGGAAAAACTAGAAGATGGGGAGGAAATATGTTTTATAAGATCACTGGTTGGGCCCTGGCTAGGTAGCTCAGTTGGATACAGCATGTCCCAATATACTAAGGTTGTGGGTTGGATCCCAGATTAGGGCACATACAAGAATCAACCAATGAATGCATGAGTAAGCAGAACAACAAATCATTGTTTCTCTTTCTCTCTCTCCCTCTCTCAAAAATCAATAATAATAAAAAATAATAATAGTTCAAGGTGGTCAAAAAATATAAATTTCCAGTTATAAGATAAATACTAAGGATATAATAATATACATCATGATGAATATAGATAACACTGCTGTATATGTTTAGAAAGTTAAGAGAGTAGATCCTAAGAGTACTCATGACAAAGACAATTATTTTTTTTCTTTTTATTGTATCTATATGAGATGATGGATATTCACTAAACCTATTGTGATAATCATTTCAAACCATCACTTATACAGTCATGTACAGGGCCCAGCACAAATAACATCCCCTTTTTATTACAAAATCTTTTATTACAAAATCATAAGCATGTAATTCTGTAACATAACACTATCAACCTCAAGCACACCACATGACATTTTAGGCAAAACGTTCAAATTAAAACTATAAATTATTACACCTATACTATTACCCTACCAACCACACTCAAGCAGGCGTTACTTCTGCCAGACCTTGTATGTCAATTATTTTGCAATAAAATTGGGGGGAAAATAAATAAAAGTGAAAATAAAAAATAATATTGAAATTTTCCTGAAAGTCAAGAAAGATAAATTCTCCAGGCTGGAAATCCCCAATACTACTAAGCAGCATTTTTAAAAATCTACAAGTAAACATAGTATGGCAAATGGCAACACATTAAAGGCAGAAGGGAAAAAAATCTTAAGATTCGGCAAGCTGGATCTAAAATTTGAGACAGTAAAAATGTAGAAAAAAACAAAAAGAATTCAGAGGGAATTTTAGGTATTCCTGTTTTGTCAAGGAAGATAGAGATTCTGAGTAGATTTAGAAATTTATAGAAAAAATATGAAATTACATGTTTAAGGGTAAAACACACATCTTTATAATCTCTCCTGAAACTCCACAGGGAACATATTTTTAAAAGTCCATAAAACTCTTAGAACAGCCCTGGCCATTGAAGCTCAGTTGGTTGGGTAACATCCGCAAACCAAAAGGTCTGACTTGATTCCCAGTCAGGGCACATGCCTGGGTTGTGGGCTTTGTCCCCAGTCGGGGCACTTGCAGGAGGCGACTGGTCATTGTTTCAATCTCACATAAAGGATGTTTTTCCTCCTCTCCTCCTCCCACTCTAAAATAAAATAAAAATAAATTTAAAAAAAAAAAACAACTCTTAAGAACAAAGAAAATGGGAGAGGAAACAATGGCAACAATTTTTGAAAGCTGGAAAGCAGATACCAGAAAGCTGATTTCTAAACTGGGATTAAGGGTGGGCTGATTTAAAATCCAGAACCCATAAAAGGCAATACCACATATGTTTGGAAGTAAAGAGCACTCTAAAAACATGACTGATTAGGAGATTCTTTAAGACATTAATTAAGACTGTGGCAACTTCATCCCACATCAGTGATACTGCTAATTCTGTTTTCTAAATCAGAAGCTTTTTAGTCTGGGGGACACCAGAGCACTGTTGAAGGTACTATTCTGAAACCAGAACAAATTAATTCTTAAACACTAAATGCTGAACACATGCTACTCTCTTCCTCCACAAAACTCCAAGAAATAACAGTGACTAGGCCTACATTCTCCTAGAAGGAGACTAAAAAATCTTTCTCTGGATGATCCTACCACTGAGACTTAGAAATACACACTAACATGAGAGGTTCTCTAATTAAATAGTCTTTCTGAGACCACATCAACAGACTCAAGAGTTCCAACCAGCTTTCCTTCTAGTTTCCCACTCTTAATTATGACAAGATATCTGAGAAAAGCCTCTAAAAGAAATCACATCAAAGACAAAAAAATACAATGAAGTGACTATGGAGACAAAAACTTCAAAAAAGCTATCATTAATATCCTCAGAGAGCAAAGACATCATATTCATGAAGAATGCTGTAACAAGGAATATTCATAGAACAAAAAAACCCCCACAGCTCTTAGAAATTTAAAATACAATCACAGAAATGAAAAACAGCAGAACGATGGAAAATAAAAAAAATCTCTTTGAAAAGTAAAGCATCAGTACAAAGAAATCAATAGAATGAGGGGGATTAAAGGAGCAATAATCAAAGAAACAAATTTAGGAAAATTTACAACAAAGACGAAGGCTTCCAGATTTAAAGCACCCAACACAATAAATAAAAATATAACAAATTATACCTTTATAAAATTTTAGAAAACAGGAATAAGATTCTGCAAGCTTCCAGAAAGGGAAAACAAACAACAAATAGGTTACATTCAGAATATCAAGAATGAAAATGGCTTTAGATTTCTCAATGGAG